GACTTCTTCGAGATATACCACTAATGTGAAAATTGTATTAAATAGTTAACATCAATTGTTTCTTTAGCGTTTGTTTAAAAACAAGAATCAGTGCCTAAAATCAGCTCTTCTCAAAGCTGTCACGTATTTACAAATAAGAAACAACTCTTTTGTGCACATCGAGCGAGAAAGTTTGAAATATAATAAATTCTTTGCAACGCAAAAATCAAGATCCTACTTTATTTGTATTTTGTGCATGTAGGCGTAGTATCTATAAACAAACACGTAAAAAAATTTAACATTTACCTGGAGAATTTATCAGAAATTTGTTATTTTTCAATATATTATTTAAACAAATGGATTCTTTCACAAAAGAATTTACATCATATAATTCGTCACTGAACAGTATTAATTTCATCAATTTACACTATCTTTCTATCTATACTAGTTTTCAAGATATTCAGCGAAATAGATTTTGCAGCCTCGGTCTTGGTGGTAGTTTTCACCCCTTTAACCTGAACGAGTGCCAATAAAAACAGACACGTATCAAATATATTTACGAGAACTACATCAGAAATAAATTTCGTCAAGACGATTGACATTTCTCTATGTTACCTTGTTAAAATATTTCTCATATTTAAGAAAACCGTTATGTAGTTTTCTCATATTTAAGAATAAAAAATGCCAAAAAATTATATTTTAACAAGGAAACATACAGAAATGCCAATCGTCTTGATGAAATTTAACTACATTTAGTGTAGGTTTTAAATTACATGCATGTTTTGATAAATCATAAAACCAATCTGGATGTACGGAATATCACTATGGGGGATAGCAGCAATGAGCCATATAAACAAAATAGAGACAATACAAGCTAAAATTCTTAGAACAATAGTAAACTCGCCATAGTACGTTAGAAACGAGGACATGCCGCAAGGACTTGGGAATACCAACGGTCAAAGAGGAAATTAGCAGACACGCAGAAAAATACAAACAAAGAATAGGAACACACCCAAACCGGCTAGCTGCGAAAACGATCAACCTCAAACATGGAAAGAAGGCTGAAAAGGAAACACCCAGCAGACCTCACAAAGGACACAACCTAACAAACACGAAGATGGTATCTCGCTGGGGGTAGCCACCCACATGATAATCAAACAGTTACAAAATTCGACCAAATGTCCAAATTGGACAAATTGTGAATGAAAAGAATTAAATAAAAAAAAAAATTTTTTTTATAGGATTGTAAATTCCAGGGTGCATAATCTGATATTCGAAATAAATGGAAAGTAGAATCAAAATTAAATATATTAAACAAACTATTTGTTTTCTACTCTATTTACAGTATCGTGTGAATCTTAGTGCTTGCGTCTAGAACACGTCTCATTTTCCAGGCCGCGATTAAGATTCAGCGCAGCCGTCTCGACTCCGATTCCCAGGTCGATCGCCATGCAAATTCCTTGCTGCTTCCTAGGATCTATCCACTCACACGCGGACGAGCATGTATTTTGACGAAATACGTGTATCTCGTTCGAACTAATCTTTTTATCCTACGTTATATGTTAATAGGTTTTGCAAGAGAAGCTCCTTACATTTTATAATCCAAGACCGAAATGAAAAAATTGACAAAAATGGATTTACCTCGTTCTTCGTGTGAGCTCTTCGTAGATAAACTAAGATTAACTTTAAATTATTTATGTACAAAAATTATCGACGTCGAAGCTCAATCGTCACGTCGTCGACGTCAAGATCAATCGATAAAATAAATGCACCTTCCTATCTTTTCCAAGAGTGTTAATTAACAGATTGAAGAAAAGATTGCACAATTAATAGATTACAAATTTCTGTGCATTTATAGGAAATTTGACAATGTAACGTATTGTAGAATCTTTTCTACAATTAATTTCTTTACAATAAATGGATTAAACAGGTGTTGGTTAAACAGGAAACGATGGTTGTTTAACGTGAACTATATACAATAACGTACTATAATTTAGACAACTAGATGGTTAACTTGCAACTTTCGTCTCCACGGATCCAAGGTTATCTCTCACGAGAACAACACTATCTCGACAACGCAATTCGCACTTTCTGACTTCTCAACTTACAATGACTGTTAATTCGTTTATGTCCCTTAGCAACCCTTTGTCTTTTGTCTCAGCCCCATGTCTTTTGTCTTAGCTCCACCACGCGCATATTCCGCACCCGCTCGTGGCCAAGGTCACGCCGGCTTTTTGCGCGAAACTTTTCGATTGAAGGATCGACGATACATTGTTGGGCCTGTCGACACGTCTGTTTTCTCGCGACATTGTTTATAGTTCGCCTGATATCTCTTAGGCCTTTCGTCCACGATACTACTATACAGTATATAATAAGTATAACAGTTATAATATTTAGTAGGTAAAACAATTCTCTACTTATGTTCTACCTTTTTATTTATGTTCATAGCAATATGAATTTGCATAAATATCTGCCGTTTAATAATTAATTTTAATCTTGATAAACTGGTCGTGTTCAACGAATCAGTCGATCTCTTATTTCGGTTAAGATAATAGGGGTAGTTGAAATGATGATAAAATATGCACTTTATTCCAACGACAGTATTCAGTAACAGATATAATAGAAGAGTCAACAACCACCAAAACCCATTAGTTACTCAATTACTTGACACGACGGATCAGATTCGCAGACTAAAAAGACAATACCCTTTGGATTTAAGCATTAGATTCAACTAGAATCAAACATACTATAAACTCTTATGATCCAAATTACCACATCAAAATAATTTACTTATAATTCTCAATGAGAATTGATTGCAAAAAGTCTACCAAATAAAAAAAAAAGAAAACTTTGAAGACTTAAGTATCTACGCGTGGTGCGTGTAGACGTGTTCTCAGCGAAGTGTAAATAGCAAGTTTAATTGTTGACTGATCAAAGGATGGAAAATCAGTGAAATTTGGTGACGGTGCTGTTGTCACGACCGGCATACTTCAAATCCGACGGACTGACGATAGAGATAAAGATGTGGCGGCACTCGGCGACAATGTATATCGCTGAAGTGCCTAATAAACCATCAACATCCCAACGGTTCTTCCACCGAAGGTTCTAGAAGAAAGAGCACGTGGCAACGATCGCGGACGCCTAGCAAATGCATGGACGGTGGGGATGTTGAGGGATGACAAAAGAAAGTAATCGGATCCGATCGAAAGTAAAATCATAAGAGTCAGTCTTAGAAAGTCACGCCTAGAGTTCGGAAGTAGATTGTAAAGAGTATTGATGTTAGAAAAAAAATAAAGTTTTCTTTTTTTATTTTTCACCTCAAATTCCTCTTTTATTTTGTTATTTTACGTGACACTGTCGCGGAGGAAAACTAAAGCACGGGGCAAGTGGATTCGTTGATGACAATTTTGGTTAGGAAAGTGAAGGCAATGGTCATTGCTGTTAATTGGATTAGAAAAAGGCTGGTGGGTAAGTAAGGGTGTTGGGCGACCCCGATCAAAGGACGCTCGTGGCTGGCATTGTACATGGGAAGATTCGCTCTCTCGTGTTTCCCCGGAATGGACAATAACTCTAAGGAATATTTCAACCTAAAAGATACTTACGTGGTCTTAAGGAGCTTAACTATAAAAAATGCTAAAATTTATTATGGGTCTTTAAGATTATTGGGGATCCGAAATAAGGGTATTTAGACATCTGGTGGCCATCTTGCTCGAGGGATAAAGTCTGGTTTATGTAGAAAGTCACGGGATGTAACAGATTGATAGCGTTTACATGAAGTCAATATTTATACAAATCTATGTTATCGGTGAAATCGCGTATAAAGCCAATATATTTCTCGTGATTAGATCCACTCAAAATAATCTCAAGCTGTTCCCACGGCAGCAGTCTCTTGTGTCGCGAAGGATCATGACTCGACACACTTGAAACAGTCTCGTAACATTCGCCCCATCAGGGAACAATTTCAGCGAGACATCGTTGGCCAAGTCGGGACAGTTTCCAGCACACGAAACGACAGTTTCGACTTTATCGACGACAATAGTTACGAGGAAGCGTAACGATATATACGATAGAATTTAAGGGTGGCCAGATGAACGAAGAGAAGGGAAACTTCTCGCTTCTTGCGACGCTCCTGCTCTTTCCGGCACGGATTTCGTATAATTCAACAATTCTTCTCGGCGAATGACCAATGTTCTAGTCCCTTGAACGAGAAAAAGATACGACGTCTCGTGATGTATCAACAAAACGAACAGCCAGATTCGAAATTCGGTTGCAAATGGAAAGACGACAAGAAATCAGCCAGGCTATCTGAATCTCTTGCCACGTTCCTCGTAATAACTCAATGGCCAACTGCAATCTTTTTGCCGAACGTTCGACGAAAAACAAATCCTCGGTTCTCCTGGCAATTCTTTGAGTTCTCGTTCTCGAAAACGATCAGCTAGTTCGTAATAAAAAATAAATAAATATAGATTGCTGCATAATTTTGTGTGTGAGCAAGAAGTAAATTGGAACAATTTAAGCGAGTTGTTCAAGAAAAGCGAAAGCTATTTTGAAGCTTACCAAAAAGTTATTTATTAAACACATAATGTTAGCAAGAATAGATTGTAGGGAACAATAATAAAACATTTTTATAATGTATTCTTGTGAATTTTAAAAGGCAGAATATTCATGATTTGTATCTCGAATAAAATATAAGTTTCGACGACAGAAACGAGAAAGATCCTTGTAGTTAAAGTTATATGGGACTTTCTTATTGTAAAAAGTGGTGTTATAAGAAATGAAGCCTCGACATGTTAATCTGATGTTGTACATTACTTACGAAGCACTTGTCTCTGAGAGGAATCTGAATCTTTCTTTTATTACCATAGTCTAAGATCTAGTGGAGAACGTTAGAAACTTCTTAACAAAAATGAACCTTTTAAAAGAATATTTATATTATTAAATAAAATATGCCATTAAATTATTATATATCAAATTAATCCTTATAATACAGTAATGCTATAAATATGATTTGATGAAATACATGTTGAAAATGACAACGTGAGTTCTCGCTCGCCATCTATATGCTGACGGCTAATTACAAAAAGGCGTAACTAGAAGATATTACTAGACACGGTCGATAGACCAGATCGATGGTTTAAGACTTCCTTTTCGTTCATTCGTTCGTGCCCCTTTCAAGTGTGTGCAACAAAAGTTTTTCGGCTCCGAGAAGTGAGGTGTTTTTCATCCGAATAATAAAGTAATAACTAACGCGATCCTACCTCTAAATATAAATATAACAATAGGTTATGAGTCCAGGTTCGATAATTAGTTATTATTTTTATTGAAAATATCATAAATAGTAAGAATATTAAGGAGCGCAGAAGATAACCTAAAAAACAAAATGCGCGTGATCGGTGATTCAGTGTTGAATGCTATAAGGGCGTTTTATCGAATACGTAATAATTGCTCGCGTGATAATATAGTTATCAAAATAATATAAAATGTAACAAAATGTCGAGTGGCGTGAATTCAAATATCGAAACACTCAATAGAGAAAATTACGACACGTGGAAAATGCAAATGAAGGCAATACTCATTAAAGATGACTTATGGGAATATGCGAATGGTACAATAAATAATCCCAAGCAGCGGATGAAGCCTCTTTATGGAAAAAAGGGATGGTAAAGCCGATATTATTCTTGCCATGAGTTCGAGTCCCCTAATCACTGGGCTACTTGATACGACGGATCAGATTCGCAGGCTGAAGAGACACTACCCGCTAGACCTAAACGCTAGATTCAATTAGTTATTTAAATTAAGTAATATTTACTTATTTATAATACTTACTTATAAATTATACTTATCTATAAAAAGTATTAACTTATTACTAAATAATCAGCCATGTCACTGCGCCACGCCAGAAAAATTACTGAAAATTCTCAACGTCAGAATTGATTGTAATTCTAATGAATAAATAAATAAAAAAAAAAAAATGAGCGAGTGAGCTATGTCATGTGAAGCATTGCAAAACTTCACATGAAATATGGAATAAATTAAAGGAGGTACGAATCCAAAGGACCTGTGAGAAAGGCTACGCTTCTGACGCAATTATTATTCACGAAAATGTCCGGTAGTGAAAATATGTCTGATCACTTTTCACAATTTTTTCAGCCACGTGGATAAACTAAAGGAAATGGGTATTGAAATCGCTGATGATTTACTGTCAATCCTATTATTATACAGCGTCCTGAAACATATGAAAACTTTAGACGTGCGATCGAATCGCGGGACCAATTGCCTTGCCCAGATGCACTCAGGACAAAATTATTAGAAGAAGGTAATAATTCTCATCGTAATTCGAATGCTGCGAATGATCACTAAGAAGCTCTGTAGTAGAGGGTTCAAACAAATACAAAGGATATAACAACAATACACATATGTAATAACGACACAGAATTATAGTAATAACAGAAACTGATACCTTGCGAAACAAATAAAAATCATGACTTCAGGTTTCGTAAGTAATAGGTCGTCCGAAAAGTTTCTTTCGCTTTACAAGGAATTAATGGACGCACAGCATTTTTCGTTTTACATTATTTTATCGAATTACGTATGATCCATTTTGTTCTATCAAAATAAAGATCATAACGTTCGACAGCTTAAGTTTGTAGCGGCACTCGGCAACACTGTATATCGCCGAAGTGAAGTGCCTAATGAGCCATCGATATCCCAACGGTCCTTTCGCCGAATATTCGAGAAGAAGGTGTGCGTGGCAACGGCCGCGGACGCCTAACAATCGCCCACAATAGTGGAGATATTGAGGGGCGACAAAAAAAAAAGAATCTGTAGAGGACTAACGTGTTTTGACCGTGAGATTTATTGGACGAGATTGCTCGTTGTTGAAACCGTCGAATATATCTAAAAATAATTAAATAAATTAACACGTTCGTCACACAGCGTGATTCGGCTAAGTTTCCTGTGGGACCCAAATCCGACTGCCGCTACGCAGAACGTAAATAGAGCGACAAGCGGGAATTCATTGTTTATCGCCTTCGATTCATTGTGAAGAAAAGATTATTTAGTTCTGAAATGGAGAAAGCTTTCCAACTAGAGTATTCCGAGGGATCTCATGACAGATATCTCAGATCTTTCATTTAGTCGAGAAGCATACTTGTGAGACGTACATCCGTAATTTGTTCATCCTCAAAATGTTCAGTAGACAGCGTGAAAATATATTTGAAGGTGAGGAGAGTAGTGATGATGAACTATTGTTCAGTGTCCAAAATCACCACAAATGTTTTTGCATGTTTTAAAAAATACCATGCGATATAGCATAATATAATATTTTATCCAGGATATAAATTAATAACAAGTATGTCCTGTAATATTTTTATGTTGTATATTCTGTATTTAATTAACTCGAACAAGAAGAGCGTCATCCATACGTGGGTGACGGGACCCACGGTCACATAGATAAGGGTGACGTGGCGACAAACATGTTAATGTACAGACAATATTCGCTGAGATGCTAGTGTAGTGTATAAGTCGTAAAATAGGATCGTTAATGTCTCGTTAATTAGATAATTCGTTGAGAAATGATTGATAACCGATCGACAACTGACTGTAACTGATTTTCTTGCGATCGCGTCCGCTGATTTATACTGGTCGGGGGAGAGTCGGAAAATTCAAATTCGTCTTAGTTCGACGATTGCATGTAGCGGCGACATTGTTTTGCCCGGAGTTTATTTATTCTTACATTACATGTATCCTAACGATCTTGATGCTTCGAGGCCAAACAACAACATGATTTGAATTGTCCTCTAACTCATGTGCCGCTACAAATCGAATCCGATCGTATCAGGAAGCGATAAAGTCGAGTAGTAAGCGAAACCGAGGGCGATACGCAACGCGATCAAAAAGACACTCGACCATGGAAATTTCCAACGGCTTCGCGAAACAAAGCGCTATGCCTTCAAAGCGTAAGGCTGACAAGCCTAATGTAATATTGATATCCCTACGGTTCTTTCGCCAAATATTCGGAAGAATGCATACGCGGCAACCGTTGTGGGCTTTTAATAAACGAACAAGTAATGGAGATATCGAGGGGCAACTAAGGAAATAATCTGTTTGCTTTTGAACCAAAAGATTCATTCCGCTCCGAGCTGCGAAGTTAAGCGAAGCCAACACAATTAGAGAAACGAGTCGTCTACTCTTGCGAGTTCAGTTTTAGTCGTTACTTATTATTTATCATTGTTAAACGAGAGCCGTTGTGAATCGTTAATCGCGGTTAAGCGTTATTTGTCCGACGATCACCTGAAATATATTGTTGACCGTAACACCGAGGGATTATTTAACGCGCTACACCCAATATCACTTCAGGTTTCATGTTTGTATAAAGATGCGTCGTTGTAAAAGACGTGTCTATAAAAGAGAGGCACTTTTCGGACAAACTAATAGAATATACCCGTAACTTGTGAAACATCGTGACGCTCCTAGAATAATCACAAGTAAAATGAATTAGACATTTTTCAGACGCCTCTGACAGCTCGGATCGATCATTAATACAACGTCTACGATCTTGTGCCAAGTTCCTGTCGTCCCCTCGAAGCTCTAGTATTAACAGCGGAGTTCTCCATTAACCCTTCTCATTTGAGGATTAAATCAATCAACCCAGAAGGGTATCTTTCAACGAATTAAAAACATGCTGCACGATATTTCCCTGGGGGATTCGACCTAAAATAGGCCGATCAATCTTCCACAATATCCGCATTGCCGCCTTAAGTTTTCAATTTATATGCAGCTGCGCGTTAGCGAAGAATATCGAGGACGACAGAATCACTCTCTTAGCGTTCGCGACGAAAATGTAAACGCCATCGTGTCGCGACGTTTCCGCTGTATCCAAAAGTCGCAGACAAGTCTGCGAAAGTCTCGACTGAATTGAGGTCACAATCGGAACACACGATGAATCCAACACACAGTTGTCGCGCCGTTTGAATTGAAAAATCCTGTACACTGCAATGGATCGAGGGAAACTCGCGACATTAAAAAATCGGCGACGTTCACCCGTTATCATAAGGCACGCGGAATGGATCGGTTAAACAGATGGCCGCGACGATTCATCATGTCACAGGAATCTCGTTCGCGGATTGATCGTACCGGATAAATAATCGCACATACGAACCATCGATGTCGGATCGTGCTCGGAATTCTATCGTATCCATCGTATCTAACGACCGTTTCTCAGTCGACGCGGTTTCTATAATCTGCGAGCTACACATGTGAAAGAAGGATGAAAATACGTCAGTGGAAACGTTTTTATAATACTTGGGGATGAAGAAATGGAAAAATGGATGTGGTATCGTTGTTTATGCAATTTCAGACTTTTGCAATTGTAGATAAACAAAAGATATTTAAATAATAAAATGTGTCATCCTAGAAAATTATAATAAACACTCTGTCGTGATAATAAATACTTTTTCATTTTTCAAGATACAATAGCTGCAAAAATTAGTTGCGCACCATTATTTTTGTTTGAATTTGTATTTATCTCAAATTTCGTATTATGTAGTAATACTGTCACATGATTAAAAAAATGTGATACTGTAGAAATAAAATGTAGAACTTGTTAAATATTATTATTATTATTACTTAGTCCGTGTTTTTCTGTTTTACATCTCGTTTACCTATTACGCTATTTACATTCTATCAGTCATATGGCGTTATCACCTTATTGCCTCCTCCCTTATATCTATCTAAACTCTTTTGCTTGTCTATCTCTCTTTTCTTATATATCTACCTCGCCTCTTATCCACTCTATTATATTGCACTCCATTATATATTCTGTCTCTAAAACTATGGCAACTTTTGTACTCGTTAAATAATCACGTCATTGGAATATAAGAAAGTATGCGAATACCTTTTGTTGCCATTGTATGTTAGAATATTTGAAGTTCTTATATTTCTAATGTTTGAAGAACGTTTGATAGCTGGAACAAATGTTTGCTCAGATTCCATTCCTTTAACTGAATTCATAAAAATATGAAAATGCACAAACGTCCGTAGTCTAGTTACAATAATCTGAAAAATCAAACTACAAATCTTAATATTCCCACCAATCTCTTCTCCCATATAAAGAAGGGCTCCCAATCTCCTGTCAACCCTCCTATTCAATCTGCACTTGCTTTAAACCCACAAATATCTTCATCCCCTTTCCGCTATCACGAATAATAAAGTAAAGTCTCTTGCAAACGTCCGATGTATTTATCCGAAGCAAAGACGATCTCCGCGTTGGTTTGGCGAGATATTGGCAGATATCGGGAGGAGAATTCACGGAGCGGAAGCTCACGGGGATCTGCTCGTACGGACGCGAGTAGAATTCACTGAAAATTTAATCCGGCGAAACGGAGTCGACAGGATTGCGAAGACAAGCCGTAGGGAGGCCGCGATCGAAAAATTTCCTTCTCTCGTTCGGATCATTTTTTAAGCTTCTTTAGAATGAATGGCCGCGAACACGACGGAACTGGGAAATAGACAGAATGCACCAAGGATCCAGACGGATGCTTTCCCAAGGGTAGACAACGTCAGAAGTCGCGAAGAGGTAGAAGGGGACGAAGAAAGGCAAGTATTATTTAAATTGGATTCCGCGATTCAGTATGGCGCTGGTTCCACGCCGCTTCCGATCCTTCGCTTCTCTTTCAGTTTCAGCAATTGATCTGCTCTAGATGGTGAAATATTAAACTCCGTTAGACTCGCTGTATAACTCGGATATTCCTCTACGCACGACTCTCTCGTTCGGATTGAGCTCTGTCTCGTCCTATTTCTCCATCGAGAATTCTAGAATATCTCCGGAGGATCGTTATCAAGTTTAGAATTTTAATAATCAGACGAATGACGAGGTCAGATCGTGGACAAGCTTCTTCGTTCATTTTCCAGCAATTTATTTTCTCACCGCGAAGACTTTTTCGGTCCGACAAGATTTGCATATCCATCCAGTTGGAAGTTCTATTAAATATAGCCTACGCTGCGAACGCTATTTTTCTCGCGTAACCAGAGATTTTTTGTAATATTCACGAACTATTTATCTTTTGTTTGCTTGGTCTATAGAAATGCAAAGAGAAAATAGGCGAGGCAAAGAGAGAATTAGAGGCATTCATTAACCAATTTTACGTTAATGCAATTTAATGTTAATTTCATTCGCAATATTTTCAAGGAACCCCAAGGATTTGTTTGATATCTTTTGATTTTCATCTCGCTTATGTAATTTTACGAATCATTTCACTTCTTGGTGATCTTTTTACTCCTTAATAAAAAAAAAAGGCCGGAAGGGTCGCACATAAATTTGTCCACTGCCAGCTATAACCGTTTAGAATGGGAAAGTGGATTGAAACAGCCATTTTTTAAAAATGGAACTTGTTACTAGATTTATTTATACCTATTTCCTCTGTCATAGAAAAATATTCATTATATTACCGAGTTATTTAGCGAATTTTTATGAAATAAAACAATAGTAAATTATATTCTTTATGCTGTTTAATAATATGCTATTTATGTAACTTTTACGAATCATTTCGTTCCTTGGCGATCATTTCATTGCTTTAATAAATTTAAAAGAGGAAAGGGTCACGCGTAAATTTCTCCACGGTCAGATTCAACCGTTTAGAATGGGAAAGTAAGTTGAAATATCTAGTAGCTTGAACTGAATGTCACCTCCCGCCGGCTAAAATCATTGTTCGTCCGTTTGTTACGAGACAAAAGGAGTTTCACGAGCTCTACGCGGTTCGTACATTATCTACGAGCCGGCCACTTCCAGATAGCGGCGCGTTTAAAAGCCGTCTCGTCAGCGGAATGGCGCAATTCGAGGCTCTTTTAATTAGAGGAAGGCTCATCAGGCAAGGTTCCGACAATACGCGGGCCGAGGAGAAACACTGTTCTTTCCCCGTCGAAGAATCCTCTGGTCCTGGCCAGTAGCACGTAGACTGGGGGTTACTATCGTCCTCGAAGATGGTGGAAATATTTCTCAGTTTTCTTGTAGATATTGGAGGCCGTATTTGTCGGTGGTAATTAAATTTATATCGAAAGCAAAGTGATAAAAACGACCAATTCATGATGTTTCATAGAAATTAGCAAATTTATTGTTGTGCATTTGTGGCGGTATTTTGTGATGATGTTTTATGCTTTGTGTAGCGACACATGAGTCATAGGACGATTCGAATCGAGGATGACTCATGTTGTTGTTTTGCCTCGGAGTATTAACACCCTTCCGGCTTTTTTTTATTAAGGAGTGAAAAGATCACCAAGAAGTGAAATGATTCGTAAAATTACCTAAGCGAGATGAAAATCAAAAGATATTAACCCCTTAACCTACAACTGCGGGCATAGCCCGTAGGTACGATGATCGGACCAAACGTAAATCGGTCCAAAATTCTCGAACGTAAATCGTAGGTTAAGGGGTTAACACAGTAATGATATACGAAAGGTAATAATGAACAAGCTAGGGACAAAGTAACATAGCCGCTACGCGTAACCGTCAATCGATAAATAGACGGACACGAGATGGTTAGGACAATCAGTATCGAGCATTCTTATAGTGAATTAACACTAGAACTACCGATAGTTAACACGAAGCTATTTTTACCAAAATCAGTTAAAACGACTGGTCTTTAAAAAATACGTAAAATAGAATATTTTTGGTATTATTAATCCATCTGCAACCATGATCTCTAAACAAGGGTTGACACATTTATAAAATTGTAGAACCAGTTATTTTCACTGATGTGGTATTTCTAGTGTCAGCATCTAGCGATCTGACCATCGATCCGGAATTTTCCTGACAACTGATATCATCATATCGAATGATACGCAGTAGAAATTCAAAAAAAGTATGGCAAGTTGCACAAAACGAAGAAACTGATTAATTGGAGCTCGACAAACAGATTGCAGGACCCTTTTACATTTTGACTGGTATTGGTATAAGTAGCCTTGATACAAAATTATTTTCAGTTTGAATACACAAAAAACAAAATAAAATTCATTATATTATTCTTTTAGTTATCGTTGCGAAAGTCATTACATCATTGCGGACAAAAACATAACATGAAGTAAGAATGTTAAAATAAAATTGTAAAACCAGTCAATTTGACTGCTGTGATAGTTCTAGCGTTAAGCAGCGCCTCAGCGCGTTGGTAGGGTCTTACATAAAGAATTTTACACGGTATGCATAAATACTCACG